AGACTGCCGATTTTTATGCCAAATAAAAATAATCTAAGCTGATTATAAGAAACTTAATTCTCTGATAAAAATGTTTTTACTCTTTCAGTCATTTAAACAAGTCGCACGCGTCAGAAAGATATTCTTCAATTTTTCAAATGTCTTGACAGTTTCGTATTTAACCTAGTTATTTTAGTCAAAATTGCATAAATCGCAGTTTAGGGATCATGAATGATAAACATTTTGTATTAAAGTATGAACAACTCACCTTATAGGATACATTACGAGGATTTTTACGAGGATCCAACTATTTCGTCGACAACGTCTCTAACGACGAAACGATGGAGTTCCACAATTTCACCAAGAAACACACGCAACAGCGATTTAGTGGCAAGAGAGTATTATTAGACTGATATGCTCTAACTATATTTTATGAGATACACGGTGTATCATAAACATAACATGAATTTAAACTGCTTTTATTCTGCGCAGTTTCGCAAACTACCTGTCGTTTCAGCTCTGAATTTCGATAATTATTTTCACGAACTCGTAGCTTCACGAACTGTCTGGCGTTCCCACTCTGAATTTCGATAATCATTCCATAAACTCGTAGTTCTGTGAACTGTCTCCCGTTTTAATCCTGAATATCAATAAGCTTTTCATAAACTAACAGTTTTGTAGACAGCTTGACGTTTAAAATTTGAATTTCACTAACGTTTCCACGTACCCAAAGTTGCATACTGTGAAATTATTATTATTATTATTATTATTATTATTATTTATTTATTTATTTATTTATTTATTTATTTATTTATTTATTTATTTATTTATTTATTTACGGGCTACTTAGACTCGTTTAAATCATACAAATGAAATAAAAGGTGAAGAAATGAACATTACGAAGTATAATATTTAATAAACTACGCAGTGGAATTAGTGAAATGGTTCAGTATGTTTCCGAAGTCTTTTGCTGAACAAGTCAATTCAAAATTCAACTTGAAATTCAAGTGATCAAAATAAAATAAAATTCTATCGTCGATGATTGATCGATGATGTATTAATATTATTAATTTGTTTGGAATTTTGATTTACTGTTGGGTTACTTTATTTATTTATTTCAATATATTTGGTGCAAGGGGAACACTTTTTGTCGCCACTGTACCTGGTTTGTGTCATGCACGCACACTTTGAATCAAGTTTTGTGAGTATTCGAGGCACACGGTCTCACCCCTCGTTCATGAATACAACCATTTCCGAGTTGAACTTCCTTCCGAGTAAACAATGGCGGAACGACTACTATCGCGAGCACACCCATTCATTTTCCACACTTTTCATTACATCACCAGTGACAACAGAGCCGCGCGACGAATTCGATGCGGAAGGATTCGGATTCAAACGGAGTTATCGATTATCAGAACGTTGCCCCTATTTCGAAGCAAAACTTAATTTGATTGTTCGACGAATAGGTGTCGTCAATTACCGAATTAACGATATTTCAAATATTATTCTCATTCATCGGTCATTCCCGTTGCGTCAATAACAGTATGATAATTAGTCTGTCCTATCTTAATTTCGATTTAAGATTTCATGTACACTGTTGCTCGAAATTTTAGCGCTTCAAATATTGCTACACGAATTTTTATTGTTGTAGCGTTTTTCTAAAAAGTACGGTGTAATTATTATTATTATCGTTGTTATAATTAAACAATGTTCCTTTATTATTGTAGGAAACATTTCTAACAGAACGTTTATTTATTTAAGGAATACTTAATTCCTTTGGACAGTTGTAAATTAAGAGCTATATTCAAACTAAAATTATTAAGTTCGATTATGAAAGGATAAATATAAATTCAGATATTGCTATTGACATTAATATTAGTATTGTATTGAAATATTAATTATTAATATTAATATTAATATTAATATTAAGTTTAAACAAGACATTAAATTTAAATATTAATAATAAATGGATCTGTATAATTAAATTTAAATATTAATAATAAATTTGTTTATAAAATTA